CAGTCTTGAAACTTTCCGATCGCACCTCGTAATACCATGCAGTTTAGCTGAGAGTCAATATTCTGATTGTATGACTTTTCTTCACCTCAAATGAAGCATACCTCAACACCTAATTCTGATTCATGCAGTAACTTTCTTTCCTGAAACAAGGCTAAAAACAGAAAAGACAAAGCACAGAAAAAAAGTTTAATTACAGTTATGCCTACCATGTGCGAGTGCTCGGCTCAAAGGAATACAGCTTGCTGCTCAGAACGGGTGTGGAGGTGCTCTCTGACATAAAACCTCCGTACACATAGATTCTTTGGCTAAGCGGATCCCACGCTGCACTATGACCATAGCCACCTTTTACTGGAAACCCTTGAGTAGAAATTAGTTTCCAGTCTCTCGTGCCAAACTGGTATTCCTGCACAGTATTCAGGTAACCATACACTGGTGAATGGCCAAAAATGACTATCATGCACTCTGACTTCTTACTTGATCTAGTGACTACAGTTGCAGTGTGACCCGCAGACCTCAATGGACCTGAAACAAAAAGATGGCATTCACTAAATGGTTCTGTTATGGAGTGTTCAATGTTTCAAAATTACATCATGGATAAGTGTGCGGGTGGAAAATTTTTGAAAATTCAAACAGCAAAAGTAACAGCAGTAATAAGTCTATCAGGCAAGACTCTACCTAATAAAGGCACGTTACCATTCTAACGGCCGCAAACAAGACGATGACCATCTTCTGGCATACTGCACCATGTACTGTCATCAAACGTGACTGACTTTTCACAGGTGGTTCGTTATTGCCTCAAACATAATGGTACCTGTCACTTGCAAGAAATATGAACAGGCCAGACAAGGCTGCAACCTTGCTGGACGGATAGATGATGGAGGAGGACCAAGGTGAGGCAAGCCGGAGCAAGGAAGCCGACGGCAGAGTTCGGAGACCATGACCTAGCAGGGACAGGGGCGATACAAAAATGAAGTAAAAAAGAAAAATATACAAACAAAAACAAAACTAAAATAAGACTAAACACAACAAATGAAAACAGAGGAGCATATACCACACTAGACACACAATTCTTAAACTTTGTGCTCTATCCATACACGTGCTGCAAAGATAATCACGCATTGCTGATCTGCAACTCCACGTGGTTCTAGATTTCAATGAGTTTCACATGCTCACAAATCAAGAAATGTAAATAATATTCTAATCAAATACAAACAAAAGTATTACCAGTATCAAACACATGCTGCCAGTATTAATGCTATTCACTTCTAAGTTAAATTTACTAGAGAAAAATAACATAAAAACACCATAAAGTTTCTTGATCTAACCATCATGAAAAATAATCAAAAACTTGAATACAACATCTTCAGAAAGCCAACCACAACTGACACGATCATCCGCAGTACCTCACGCCACCTTCTATATCACAAAACAGCCAGTATAAATGACATGTTAAACAGAGCAAAGCCATTCATTTAAATGAAACAAACTCACATAGTAACAACTTACTTTTTGAAATCCTGATAAATTCCAATAATATCTAAATACTGTTCTCTTCATCCACCACCATTCCCATCATGCTCACCCCCACCTACCCAGAACTACCCCTGAATATCAACCAACACCTTCAGTACAACTGTGGCATCTCCACTTAAATAGGTAAGATGTTTATGACACAGTGCATTAGGTGGCAAAGCCCACAACAGAATTCAGTTCAATACCCAAATAATCTATTAAAAGATAAATCATGCCATTTGACACACCATTCTACTTAACCAAAAACCCCACTGTCACAGGAAGTATATTTAAGCTGTCCTAATAGTTTCATACATCTCCAACAATACAGTCAACCCAGGAGAGTTAAATTTACTAGAGAAAAATAATATAGAAACACCATAAATTTTCTTGATCTAACCATCATGAAAAATAATCAAAAACTTGAATACAACATCTTCAGAAAGCCAACCACAACTGACACGATCATCCGCAGTACCTCAAGCCACCTTCTATATCACAAAACAGCCAGTATAAATGACATGTTAAACAGAGCAAAGCCATTCATTTAAATGAAACAAACTCACATAGTAACAACTTACTTTTTGAAATCCTGATAAATTCCAATAATATCTAAATACTGTTCTCTTCATCCACCACCATTCCCATCATGCTCACCCCCACCTACCCAGAACTACCCCTGAATATCAACCAACACCTTCAGTACAACTGTGGCATCTCCACTTAAATAGGTAAGATGTTTATGACACAGTGCATTAGGTGGCAAAGCCCACAACAGAATTCAGTTCAATACCCAAATAATCTATTAAAAGATAAATCATGCCATTTGACACACCATTCTACTTAACCAAAAACCCCACTGTCACAGGAAGTATATTTAAGCTGTCCTAATAGTTTCATACATCTCCAACAATACAGTCAACCCAGGATCCTTTCAACATTATAATATAAGTAAAAGTGTGACAAAACACTAATCAATAACTAACTCCCTGGTAGCAGAACCTGCGGGTGCAACACCAAAAACACCACAGCCCACCATCGGCCATGATCCTGAGCCAACTCCATCCATTTTCCATCCTCACAGCCCACCTCCCTAAGATTTATCTTGATGTTATCCTCACATCTCCTCCTTGGTCTGTCCAGTGGTCATTTTCCAGGATTCCCTACCAAAATTCTGTATGCACCCATTGCCTTCCCCCCCCCCGTAATATTCTAAATTCCCCACTTATTTCATCCCTCCTAGGTCTAAATATCTTCCTGAGCACATTGTTTTCAAATACTTGTAATCTACATTCTTCCTTCAAAGTAAGAGACCATGTTTCACAACCACACAAGACAACAGGCAAAATTATTGTTATATATATATATCCTGACCTTTAGTGTTTTGGACAGTAAATAGGATGATAACAGATTTTGAATTGAATAAAAATAAGAATTTCCCTATTGTATTTGATTCTCAATTTTATCATGGACCTCATTTCCATTTGTACTTGTTGTTCCCAGATACTTAAATTTTGAAACATTTTTAAACTAATTTATGTTCTGCCGTGTTTGCTAATGTTGATCCCATATTACGCCCATGTATTTACTTTTGTCTACATTTATTTTTAGGCCTATTTTCTTGCTAGCCTGCAGGAGAGTTTCTGCATTCTTGGTTATGGTACCCACATCATCCCTCAGCAAATTGACATCATCAGCATAGGCAATTACCTGGTGCACTCCATTCAATTCAAGCACTTCCTGATTACCTCTGACCTTCTTGATGACTTGTTTTAGAGCAAAATTAAAAAGCTCTGGGAAACGATCCGACAGAACGTTTTCTATACGAACTCTATTAGATGCCCCAACCATACACATCTTAATTAACCTACCAAGTTTCTTCGGTATTCCAAACTCAATCAAAATGCCATATAGTACCTCTCTTCTAACTGAGTCATGTGCCTTCCCAAAGTCCACAAATACTTGGTGTACTGACTCATTTTACTCCCACGTTTTCTCTAATATTTGTCAAACACAAAAGATCTGATCGACACTTGACCTATTATGGCAAAATCCACATTGATCATCCCCGATAGTTTCATTCCTAAATGGTGTTAACCATGCCAGAAGAATACTTGTTAAATTTTATATGGTGTTTACAAAGGAGAGATACTTTGAAAGTTACTGCATTCAGTTTTGTCCTGTTTTACAGTAAGAACCCATTTGTATAGATCCTTTTCGCTCCTACGTGAAGCATAGGGCCTCCTTTTTGGAGGTTAATTGATCTACAATAAAATCTTCTCGGGCTATCAGCCGCGTCAAGTGGTTAAAACATGAAAATACCAACGTTTCGAGGTCCATCTCTGTCCTCGTCCTCAGGGCACTGACACGGCTGATAGCCCGAGAAGATTTTATTGTACATAGTCGCTGTGAAAGCTCAAGATCCACTGGACATTTCATTTGAAAAATGTAAAACAAACAGAAATGTCAACAAGTTCTAGGCAAATAATTTGATATTTAGGATTTGAGGTTTTCATGGTGGTGGTGAGTCCAAAGATGGCTGTCGTCTATGTTGTAGCACCATGTAGTCTGGTAAAAATTTACAGACGTTTCAGAGGTCCTTGCTGCCTCTACCATCAGGGTGATAAGGCCTTCATCCCTCTTAGGTTGAAATATTCTCTTCAGCACCCTGTTCTCAAATACCCTCAATCTACATTCCTCTCTTACTGTCAGAGACCAAGTTTCACACCCATAAAAACTGCAGGCAAAATTATAGTTTTGTATATTCTAATTTTTACATTTTGGCATTATTTAATTATAAATTACTTAAATGCTGCAAAATACTCACCACAGAGAAATGTTGAATTGGATGCAGTGGTATTACACTGTTCAGTGCGAACAGTAATATTTTCCCAAGTCTTTGCACTCACATCAAATGCCCACAGTTCATTTGATACAACACCATTCTCCTCCACACCACCATAAACGTAAATTTTATCCTGCAACAAAATTAATTTTTAACTGAAAGCAACTAATATTCTGAAGGCTTCAATTACCATGTCTAGTTATCGCTACAATTAACAAATAATTCTGCTCACAGCAACGCATGACAGAATTCAGTATTCTGAATTATTTGATAAGAACTTAAGAGCATAAATGTCTACAAGCCAAGAACTTAAGAGCATAAATGTCTACAAAACAAGTACCTGAGCTTCTTCCTGGTGAGCCTTAACAAAATTAGTATTCTCACTTCTATCAATAACTTAAACACCTACCAAACATACATTATAATATTTATATTTCTTTCTTCAACACAAACAAAACTGAATTATAACAAAATAAAAACTGACACAAAACAAACCTCGCCAATATTTTACCAGTTTACAGATCTTCATGTGATATCAAGAAACTGGAAATAAAAGTCAATGATAAGAGCATCTGTCACCCTTGGTGGAGTAGTGGTTAGTGCTCGCCAATGGACCCAAGGTTTGAGGGTTCAAACCCAGCCAAGGTCAATGGAATTTTAAGGGTGATAAAGATTCATAGCACAACTTCTTTCAGAAGGAAAGTAAAGCCGGCGGTCCCATGTAGTACATTTACGGCGTGTAAAAGAACCTTACGAGCATGAACGAGATGTTTCGTAAGCAAAACTGAGCAGCCATTTCTCACCCAAGTCTCTCCTGATTCACTACTAGATGGCTCTAGCAGTCAAATTGGGAATGAGTAGAAATTGTGCAGAGGCAGTGGGCTGATCACTCACTACTCATAAATGCATGCTTCAAAGACTAGATAAACCTCTGAAAAGGAGGTGGTGAAGACCCACAACTGGGTTGTGGAGCCAAGAAAGATGAAGAGGAAAGATAAGAGCATCTAATAAAATGCAAAATACAAAGCAAGAGGACAACATTTAAAATCATATAAGCAGTTTGTTTTGTAATACTAACAAGAAGCATAAAATACTGTTAAGATAATAAAAACTGAAACTACAGTGAAATCCCCATTTTTGAATTCTCGATCTAAGGTATTCCTGCACGTTGCGTTCATTTTTTGAGATCCCAGGCATAGCTCCATATGGTACAATTTACTGTTCACCCCAGTTTCGTATTTCTCAATCCAAGGTATCACACCCATTTAAGAAATGAAATTTAGGACTGTACGTGGAATTTGGATCCAGTTCACTGTTCACATAAACACATGTGCAATTCATCATCATCATCACCACCAAGTCTGAGGCCACAAGAAATATATGAAGTTTTTTCCTCCCTTGCTAACAGGTAGAGTCACTTCTTTCCCAGCCGCCACCACCATTTAGTAAAGTCATTTTTATTTTATTTAGTGTTCTGTCTGACGACAGGTCCATATGAACTGGATCCTTCCATCCTTTTCTCGGACTGGGACCTGTTCATATACGTTCTTGGCAGATGATCCAGAAGTGGTTTGCCATTGCCTTCTTCTGTGTGTGAATGGAGAAACCGGGGAAGCCCCCGGAGGAAAACTCCGGGTTGCCTAGACCACGGCCTTGCCCAACACAAGTTATAAATTCGGGCACCGCCGGGAATCGAACCCGAGACCCCAGGATTACAAGACCAGCGTTCTAACCGCTAGACCACCGTGGCAGCCTAGTAAAGTCATACGACCTGACAAAACATTCTTTCATGAGTTGACAGTGGAGATGAAAGGCGATGCTTGTAAACCCAATGTCAACTTCTACATGTGAATTTTATCAGTTGTGGTGACTTAGTGAAAAACAGCATATACATTGCAAGATAGATATTACTAAACTGTTAACACATGCAGAAATAACTTGTGGAAGTCTTTCATCTTTCAGAGACTGATAAGACACATTCAGCATTATAGACAAGTCTGAAAAACATAACTGATCTAGTATTAAATGCACACGCATTATAAATGTGGTATATAATAGCGAATTTGTTATTTGCAGAGATTAGATAAGTGTAGTCTCAAGATAAGGCTTTATCAGTCTCCGAGAGCTTCGGGCCACACACTTATGCTAACCTACAAGAAACAAACATTCGTTACACAACAAAATAGAATCAAGACTGTAAGTATCATTCTATTTTCATGTTTAAAATATATGTTGCTCAGTTTACAGTAACATAGCTACTTACCCCAAACAGAACAGCAGAGTGGCCATACCTCATCCGAGGCACAACTTTGGAATCCAGGTGTGGTGTTTCCCAAACATTTCCTGTAATAGAAGTCAACAAGCCCAATAATTTCTCTACACACGAAACACACAAAGCAAACAAGAAATATACAGAAAGTCTGGTTTCAGGAAATGTATGAAAGAGAAAACTGGGAAAACCAAGGTGTAGATGAGAAGGAAATATTACAACGAACCTAAGTGGAAAAATTTGTGAGTGAACTAGAATAAACTGTCTCAGAGCAGAGTCCAATGAAGGCGCTTAATGACAATCATGATGAATCTTCAGGTTCCATACTAAGAGAGAATTTCTTTACGAACTAAATTACTTTCCATGTTAAATGATCCCCTCGCACAATGGCAGAGGACATCCTCAGATTGCAGATGTATTCCTGATTTAAAGTTTACTTAATATTTTAATATTCATATAACGGTACATAAATATCTATGAACACGAAAGAACAGTCCATGGAGATTTATCCTTTTTGGATTACATGCTCAGTATGACCACCATTCTATCGTGCAGACTTCCAAAACACGAACGGCTACATTTGTGAACACTATGGCACATATCCTCTGTAATTGCACCACACATTTGAACAATCAAACCCCTGAGTAGCATTATTGAGGCTGTTTTTTAAAACAGTTTTTCCATAAGGTTACCCCAAAGGAAGAAATCTCTGGAGTTTATTTCCAGGCTACTGGGTGGCCACTTTTGTCTACATCCATGCCAAGCAGAATATGGATTATTAGAACTGATGAGGAAGTTCAAAATGGCCAACGCATCAACCAATAGTATTATATTTAAGGACAGCCAAACCTGCATAAAGGTCATAAGTCAATGTGCTAAGCACGGGGATACAAAGTACCACTTCAAACATGACTTGAACAAAAGTGGTAAACTAACCTTTTGGGTCCATGCAGGATATATCCCATTAAACAGTGTATGTTTTTGGCTGAATGGCATACGTTCTCCCCACTACGTCATGATATTGTTAAAAATTTTACACATTCATATCAATAGATCTTATATGTCTAAAATGCTACTAAGCTTCACAGATTGTCAGAGATTCAAATGTAATTAAAACATCCACTTTAGAAGGTGGAGTGACTGAGAGAAACAGTGAAAATCCTTGGTGTGGGGAGTCTGTGCCACAGTCAAGATTCATATTCGCACCATTCATATACAAGTTACAAAACGCGACCACTTGCTTAGCTCAGTATTAAAGGCTGTATTTCTTTATTTATGTGGGTTTACGTATTGCGCCAACAGTACAAACAAACAGAGGTGCACCTGCGCTACATAAGACTAGTGACTGTGTCCAGGAAGCCAAGAAATGTTTTGTTTTGAGTCTGACTTCCCTTGTAAAACAATTCTGATGTATGTTCTGTATGATCTTAAAATAAGGTTCTCAGAACAATTGCATCTGTAAGTCTGTATGAATTATGTCACATTTCCTTGATGGATTACCATTCATTCATAATAAACAATAAAGGAGTGTTGAGTAGCGTTTATCAATGCATTGACGGATTCTGAGAACAGAAACAAGAGCTTCCTTTGTCTGAGCCAACTATCGAAAGCTTCACAACTTGTGCAATCCTCTCCATTGCTATCACCAGAAACGCAGTCAATTGATTATAATACAACAAATTTTACATCATTCTATAACCATGACAAAATGCATTAAAAAGCTTCTGCCACTCTTAACACTATTTTCCAATATTTTCAATATTTCAAAGAATAAACAAAAAAGTGGAATCAAAATGGAAAAGTTATGTAAACTATGCTGTCAAGCTAATAGTTTCAAAACTCTGGTAGTGGACAGTGGTTGTCAACAGGTGTACAAGAGAGACTGATTCATCTTTATAGCATATATTTAATCCAAAAATTGTACGTTAAAAATTGCAATCGACACACCACAATTTATTTTGTAATTCTCTGCTCTTTATAGTGCTATAAATGTTGATTTATTTTGGCTGTTAGGTTTCACAAGAAAATTTAAATTTCCATAATCTAAAGACTAAAATGTCATATATTTTCAAATGATCAAATAATAACAGATTTCCTGATGAAACTCCCTTAGGATAGCAAAGCAAAGAAAATTTGTTGAAGGGACTGAACTTAACAAGTTCGAAAGTGTATTCCATTTCAGAATACATTAAATATCCTCACACATTCTTTGCAATGTGCATTTAGACGTATTAAGTCCTCCCACCTCATGATTTCCTTATCTGTCATTTTGTTATCACCACTTGTAGTATATTCAAAAGTATGATTTTGAAGTCATGCAGAATATCACAACCTCCATACCAAATTTCATCCAAATCCGTCCAGTGGTTCTCAAGTTGAATTGGCTGGACAGATGAATAGATAGACAGAGAAGACCAGCCCATAATACGTTCTCGCTATGCACACATAACAACCGCTTACAGGCATAGACTAGTAATACTATAACACATTTGCACAGGCAATCACTGGGGGCCATAATTATTGACATTAAATAACTGATGTTTTAAAAACAAACTACAAACACTAAGTTGTTGTCAGTCTTGTTCTACCATTGAGTGTTATTAAAAGATACATTTCTTTAAATTAAGTTAGTTGTATACAAATAAAAAGTGAGGTAAACAAGAGACAAAGCATTAGATTCTGCAGAATGCTGTAATACTGCTTACTCAAACTGTACAGAAACTAGGATAAATTATTAACAGTCTGAAATTCTGCAACAGTATGCCTGGAAGAAAAAGACTGAGGCCTATTTTAAGGCAATATCCAAACTTCCAAAATCATTAGTATATCCTGAACTTCCTCTTCTCATACCCTTTTATCTCGTACATGGAGCATAGGGGCCTCCATTCAGAGGTTTCTGAACTATTTTTAGACATTTGGTAGGGACTCCTTGGACGAGTGATCAGCCCATCGCAAGGCCCCTTCCAGAGACATGGGTGAGAAATGGCCCCTGAACTTACCAGGTCAAACAAACCTGATAAGTTAAGGATATACTAATGACACTGAATTTACTCAAATATAAGTCAATATTTTCACCCTACTTAGGAACTGTAACAGCAAGGATCATCTTAAATTTGCAAGCCACAAACCATATGTGCTAGGATCTGCAGTCAGTGTTATGTATTTATTTATTTAGTGTTCTGTCTGACGACAGGTCCATATGAACAGGATCCTTCCATCCTTTTCTCGGACTGGGACCTGTTCATATACGTTCTTGGCAGATGATCCAGAAGTAGTTTGCCATTGCCTTCTTCTGTGTGTGAATGGAGTAATTGTTGGGATGCTGCATGTTAGGTTGTAATAACTTCAACAACTTACAGTTGAAAGAATTGAGATAGATTATCACAAAAAGGCAGACAAACAACAATAAGATGGGTAAAGTGACAGACACATTACGTGTTTCTACACCTATCCTAAAGGAAATTATACATAATTTAAGTCTCAACAGCAAATCATGCAGAACAAAATAATAACTGTGTCTGTGCATACAAAACACAGTTAACTCAAACATTATAATTCTTTGTTGAATAGAATAAATAATTCCCCTCTTTATGTTTAAGTAATAAAACACAGGAGTTTGAGTGGAGTGTCTTGGATTTAAGTTAACATAAATTTATACCATTATATAGCGTTCTCTGTCCCGTGCCGTAGCCGCGCGGTCTGACGCATCATGCTTCGGACCGGCGATATGGAATGCGCGCTGGTTCGAGTCTCGGGGGAGAAGAAATTTTCTCATGAGATTTTCGACCAGTGTATGGGACCGGTGACAACCCAGCATCGTGTGGAAATTGGGGAGCTACAATGAGTAGCGTAATCCGGTGATGAAAACTAGCAATGGCTGGGGGTTTGTCGTGCTGACCACACGTCACCCTATATCTAGTTGGATGATCGTTCACCTCTGCTTAGGCATGTGAACGAGGCCTGCAGTCAAGCTAGTCGGCCTGGCTCTCTGGAGCTGTTACGCCACGGATATAATAATAATATAGCGTTCTCTACCAGAAAACTGAAGTAAGGGCAATTACCATTAAAATCATACACATAGATCATCTTCGCTCTGTGATAAGATTCGCCACCTACAATATACAAGGAATCTCTCCACACAACTGCCCCATGAGACGCAGAGCCCTCTGGCACGAAGTCTTTTAAATGCACCACTTCCCAGTAGCCAAGATCAGCCAACTGGCTGCAGTCTTCTCCTGTAGCAAAAATAACAGTAAAATTAGCTCAAACACCATCTCATAGGTTGCTTAAGTTTTATGAAATCACAGGCCAATTTGTAGCAAAAGAGGGACAAACTATTCTATGAATGATAGCTGAAATTATTAATTTCAAACATCAGTCAGATGTATATCAGATCTAAAACTTCTTGACGATGGTGAAGAGTCAATTGAATAAAAATTTTCTTGGATATTATCCATCGTCTAGTGAATATAAAAAGTAAAACGATGTTTCGGAGATGGGACTCTATCTCCGGAGATAGGGATTAGCTCTATCTAGTGGGCCCAACTGTGTAGGAACCTGAAGACGGAGATAGAGTCCCATCTCCAAAACGTTGTTTTACATTTTATATTCACTAGACGATGGATAATATCCAAGAAAATTTTTATTCAATTGAATCAGTCAGATGCATTACTGTTATTCCAACTTAAATGCTGTGGAAAGCCCAATGTGAAGAAATTATATTACAAAGCCATTCATTAGCCAGCACTCATCAATGTTTCAGCATCACATACAGCTACATTATGATTTCATTCTCCAAAAATGGTTTTGTGTATTTTTATTCCCTTAGACACAAATGCTCGAACAGGAACATCTCCCCTATAAGCCCGCACGTAACTTGTGAGACACATCATCATATACTTCTTGATGAGTTACGAAAGTCAGCTACAGATATGCCAACTAAGGACACAACTTATTAAGAAACACATAGAGCATTTATGAGTAACTAGCGTGTCTTTGATCTATTTCCTGAGTATCACGTTACAGCATATTCTAATGCAAATTAAGCACAGAAAATATTTTCAAAGCAACATTACAGAATATGAGACTATGTGAAATAATATTATATTTATATACACATATTAATAACATTTTAATAAATAAGTATATTTAAAAGTATGCATTGTACACTTAACAGGTACACTCTGCAGAGAACATTAAAATATTTATGGTATTAATTACACAATCATTAGAACTGTTTGATCTAAATTAAAACTGAAATGGCTTAACAAATTTTCATAGAATTCCTCAATATTAAATTTAGTCAAAACCAGTTTATCTCTTCTCAAGTTGTTTCATGTGTATGTCCACAGCATCGCAAATCAACCTGAAAAGGATAAAGCTAAAGGTACGGTTGAACTGACTGCACACTTACAAGACCGTAACTTGATTTAAAACACTACACACAGTAACCTCAGATGCATTACTGTTATTCCAACTTAAATGCTGTGGAAAGCCCAATGTGAAGAAATTATATTACAAAGCCATTCATTAGCCAGCACTCATCAATGTTTCAGCATCACATACAGCTACATTATGATTTCATTCTCCAAAAATGGTTTTGTGTATTTTTATTCCCTTAGACACAAATGCTCGAACAGGAACATCTCCCCTATAAGCCCGCACGTAACTTGTGAGACACATCATCATATACTTCTTGATGAGTTACGAAAGTCAGCTACAGATATGCCAACTAAGGACACAACTTATTAAGAAACACATAGAGCATTTATGAGTAACTAGCGAGACTTTGATCTATTTCCTGAGTATCACGTGACAGCATATTCTAATGCAAATTAAGCACAGAAAATATTTTCAAAGCAACATTACAGAATATGAGACTATGTGAAATAATATTATATTTATATACACATATTAATAACATTTTAATAAATAAGTATATTTAAAAGTATGCATTGTACACTTAACAGGTACACTCTGCAGAGAACATTAAAATATTTATGGTATTAATTACACAATCATTAGAACTGTTTGATCTAAATTAAAACTGAAATGGCTTAACAAATTTTCATAGAATTCCTCAATATTAAATTTAGTCAAAACCAGTTTATCTCTTCTCAAGTTGTTTCATGTGTATGTCCACAGCATCGCAAATCAACCTGAAAAGGATAAAGCTAAAGGTACGGTTGAACTGACTGCACACTTACAAGACCGTAACTTGATTTAAAACACTACACACAGTAACCTCAAACTTGTGTTATGCAGTCTCACACAACAAACATTATACACTCTAACAAGAAAACATCGGGCTTTATTTCGTATTACAACAGGTGTTCGAACTGATGACCTTCTTCTTCCTTCATTTCTTTCTGTATCTCTTTCTTTTTCTCGTCATCCTACACCTTACTCCGTAACTTCACTTCTAAACATGACTGTACTCCATTACAATGTTTTTACAAAGGCCGTATACAATTATACCAGAAACTGGTTTTTAGTCCGTTAACACGCAACATTCAATGCAATAGCGCTATATTTCCATACCAAAAGCTTGAAAGGAAACCAGCCCAAGAGACGTTAATACATTTCATTAGACTGCATGACATATGAACTGATCCTATCTACTTTAAATTTTAGAAAACTTTATTCCAGACGACGACATCTCGATGCGTTATTTCTTATTAATGTATTTAAGGGCAAAATAAATTGCCATTCCATTATGGACACTGTTGGTTTACGTGTGGCGGCGAGGCAAATAAGAGAATTTTCTACTTTTAGTGTGAGCAGTGCACTACGACATAGTCCTTCAGCCAGGTGCGTCATCGCTGCAAATGACGTATGTAAATCTTTGGACGTATTTAGCATAAACATTGTCTACCTTGAGCGAACGTTCTCAACAAGGGAAATGATCTAGCTTGGTTATCTGTTTTTTGTATTTCTTTAACGATGTACATTTATATTAGTGTTCCCTAGGTGGATTATTTGTTTTTATTTATATTTCTTCATTTTTTGCTCTGTGTTAATATTGTTTCTATTTTGGGTTTGCCTGTACTTGGCAGTTATATTTAATATTGTACATGTATAAGTTTAGTTAATCCGTTTGTGTAATATTATCCATTATTATTTCACTATTATTGTATATATTATCAGTGTTTGCCTGTTATTGGCTTCTTGCTGTTGGCAAACACGTAAATAAATTAATTGAATTGAACTGAATTGAATTAATTGAATTGAATAAGAAATTCAACGCACTGAGCATTCACTCTGTATGTAACACCAATCAATACCAAGGCTTCTCTGTCCACTTTTATCATGCCCACAAAATAAATAAATAAATATATATATATATATATAATGTGTATTGTAACAAAACATAAAATTAACAGAATAAAACAAATATGATTTCAACACAGCCAAAACTAAATAATTATTTTATTTTTCTTATTGTAATCGTCTACTGAATAAAATGTGATTTTTTAGTGTGTCATAACCAGAACCTATTGTGACAAGATGCCATCAAGGAAATCATATGTTCTTATGTAAAGTGGTAACTAAAGCCGTCCTATCTGAATGAAATGGTTTAACGAACGTTCATAAACACGTTCAACATCAAATTTAATCAAAATTGGTTTATCCATTCTTGAACTTCTAATGTTACACACACATTACAATGACACGAACATGTCTGAAAACATTGCTAGAAACCATTTTCCAAAAGCCTTTCCAACACTGTTATCATATTGCTCTCCATTCCTTCCTTCAAGTGAATAAACACGAAACCCTTTCTAAGATATTTTAGTTCTGAGAACGTGAAAAGTCACGAAGGAACAGATTAGGTAAGTAGAATGAACACTGCAACACCTGTACCAATTTTTCAGCTTAATATTGTGCAGCCGAGGCATGATGCTGACCACTCGCCCCCAACTAGTGCTGAGGTTAGGAATGAGTACGTCCTCTCCCCCCAAGTGCCTACATGGCATGTAGCGGGACAGCTTTACTTTACTTATTGCTTGCTACATGGGAAGAAGCACTGTGATAATGCAAAGTCCGCTTTCCCAGCCAAAGATTTTGTATTTTATTATGTAAACATTTCCATAAACATTCCAAAACTTAAAGATAAAATACTGTTTGCTTTGGAAAAACAATTTCATAATAGATATTTCTTCTGAAATTAAAAAAGAAAAGCAGAGCAGCATAGTACGATACAAGGTTTCCAAGGCAGTGAGTACAATTATGACCGTCTTCTGGGTTATAAACTGCGTAGTCTGGTTAAAGTCACTCATCACCTGATGAAAGAGACAGCCAAGGACCTCTGAAATGTTTGTAAACTTCCACCAGACTACAACCCAGACAACAGCCATCTTCAGATAAGCAAGACTTAGACACTTTATTTTTGGAACGTACTTCTCTCCAAAATATCAGGTTTAACGAACAATCTCGCTGACTGGTCTGATAAAATTCCTTCTCTCCATTTTTTTTGACAAATAAACAGAATACTGCACCAATAAAACAAACTGGATCCCAAAGACTGTTTAACAAAAAACTGTTGAATGATGTAGTCATGTAATCAAACATACGCCAATTCACCACTGCGTAGAAACAACAGTCCAGTTATTCAACTGACAGACATTTTCTTATAAATAAATTAAACGTACTGCATCATTATAATGATGATAAGGAAAGCACGCACCTTTGTGACCTTGTTCACAGTCACAGCGGTGCATCTCATGGTTGCACACTCCATGGCTGTTGCTGCAATTGTTTGGACACACAGGCACATCACACGCATCGCCCATGTACGAAGCGTCACACGTGCACACGCCATCAATGCACACCCCATTGCCCGAACAGTTGACATGTGAGTACCGACTTGGGCAAGAATTCAACCTGAACAGCAAAACATAAGAGTTTGATGCAAGCAACAACACTGAAATACATAATTTCTGAGAATGTCAAATGCTAAGAATTCAATCAAAGGGGCAATGTACAGACGGTAATGCACGCAACAAAATTAAAACAGGAAGGTAAGGTTTCAGGTTCTCATGACAATAAGAATGAAGGTGGCTGTCTTCTGGGACAATGTATTTCATAGTCTGGTTGATATTGACCTGTATTTCAGAGATGCTTACTGGTTCCATCATCAGGGCCCTCTAAAATGTCAGTCAATATGTACCATACTACAGTAAAACCTCTCTAAGTTGGACACTTGTGGTTCCACGAAAATGTGTCCAACTTACAGAGGTGTCCAAGATAGAGGGAAAGATAAATATCGATTGTGGTCTAATGACAATATGGTCTATTTACTTACATACACTAACTGCTGTAGGCTTACTTGAATTAAGAATTAATGACAACAGTATTATTAATAATCTTTTGAAGCCTATGTATGCATTGCACATTACACCCCAGCCTCAATAACATTTTCTAAAGTTAATTCCACTAATTTTCGCTTCCCCATCGCAAAAACAAAAATTCCATTT